TTGACTCCAACTTTACAGAAGTGTGCAAAATTTCTGATGATTCATTCAATAGGACACTGGACAAGTTGGTAGAAGTGTGTTAAGTATAGATTAGGATATAAGATTTTTAGCAGACAAACAAACAAGAAGTGAAGTTAAAGAGAAGTGTTGTAAAAAAAGTCTCTGTTTTAGCTTTGACAATAACTAGGGAGCGAAAGGGGGCACCACCCTGAAAAAGTTTGGGAACCACTGACCTAACAGTTTTGAAGTGTTTTGACTGCTAAGTGCTGTTCAGCCTGTTATTACTCCGATCTCCAGTTTCTCCTTGAATGGATTACTGATAACTGACTAAACTAGTCTTCATTTTCTGAGCATAGTAACTTAGTAAGTAATATTTATTCGCCAATCGTGATCATTCCTGATTCCATGCATAATCTACTCTCATATCTCCTGTAAATGGCTCCATTGCTATTGCGTAAGTCTCGTAGCAGTTCTCCCTTTCTTGGCAATAATTGACCGATTTCTGCTTTCAGTGCACCATTCTGAAAAAAATTAAATTAGGATCAGTTTGTTAATGAAAAACCTAGAAAACTAGCAGGAAGCAAAAAACCTAGATCTAGGTTTTTTTGCTTCGGAGCAGTACAGTGTGCCTGCTGGAGTGCTGGGGCTAAATGCCCAAGGATTTCCTCAAAAACCACCATGCTACCTAATGGCAGCCCTGATGAGGTATATTGACTGGCTTGGAAATTAAATTACCCCACCTAACTCAATTCAACCAAAATTCAATTAAACTCATCCTAATTAAACCATATTCAACCAAAACCAATTTAACTTGTTCTGACTTGATTTAACCCAATTCAACCACACCCAACTCAATTCAACCCTAATCGAATTATTTTAGCCCAATTCAAGCCAACCTAATTCAGTAAAATTATATAGACTGAATCAGAATGTATCAGAATGCATTGAGATTTTATTTGATTGCACTAGATTTCACTGCACTAGAATGACTAGATTTCATTGCAATGCATTAGAATACACTAGAACGCATCAAATTGAATTAGGGTATATTAGATTTCATTAGGTTACATTAGAATGCATTAGCTACGTTACTCAAGATTGCATTAGAATGCTTTAGATTGCAGTAGAAAGTGTCAGTTTGAATTTGAATGCATTAGATTGTATTAGGCTGTATTAGATTGAATTAGAACTGAATAAGCTAGATATATTATATTTATGTACTGATAATGTGCACTAGGATAGGGAGTGTGCCACTGTCAGTGACTCAGTGAGTCAGTGTCACTGTGAGTGTGAGGTGACAGTCTGACTCACTCACTCAGGCTGTCTGAGACTCTCAGTCTCTCACTCCCTGTTCTAAGTCTCAATTTCTCAAATAGATAATCTTTAACTAGTACCTATCTCAGAATCATTGTTCATAAAATAGAATAGACCTGTAATAACAGTAACAGGCTAACAGCCCAGGCTGTCCTCAGTGTCCTGTATTCAGTGTATTGGTAGGCTAACTAGATATTGAGGAACATCATTTAATGAAAAATAAATAATTCTGAAGTAAGATTTTAAACATTGCAGGTACAGAAAATAGAGCATTTAGAAGGCTATTTCAAGTGCTAAGCACGATATTAACATTTACAGAAAGTTACAAATACAACATCATACTTCGATCATCTATTGTACCAAACACGAGACTGACAGTTCATTTAACAGCACGCCTCACATCAGTCACAATGTCACATGGTGTATGGCAATGGCATATTGCCGTGAAAGACTGGAGTGAAACGAGTCAAACGACGAAGATCAAATATTGCGTGTCGCTACCAAAATGCGGAACAAGGAGCTAAATGATCTCATATTTTTCAACTCAAATTTGACTTGATGAAAGATTACACAACAAATTTCTTTACTTAATTTGGGGTATTGGGATGGATGTTGTACGTGAGGAATTGGATGGTCTATCTACTAATTGTTAATTGAGGTTTTTGTTTCTGGAACTGACGGCCATGCGCGCATGGGGGGATCCAGGTGATGGCCAGATGAGCCTTGAGCCGGGCTTGAGGGCCGCCGGAGGAGCAGGGAAATGGTTAGACGAATCAGACGTCCATCGAATGCTGTGCTGTTGGTGCGTGGAAGCGAGGACTTTATCGAGGTGATGGAGCAGTCAACGCCAAGGGAACCCTTCATAGGTCGGTCATCGGAGAGGGCAGAGACGATACGAAAGGATAGATAGGGGCCTGAAATGCACTGGCATGAACTGTGAACGTGCAAGATCAGGGTGAACGAACATGAGGAGGACGTTTGTCTGGGTATAGAGGTGGACGCTTGGAGACATTTTGAGGGATCCGATGGCTAACCTATAAGCGAGATTTGAATAGTTGCAGTTGCTATAGCGGTGTGAAAGGCAACAGCTGCGTAGCTAAAGATTGAGCGCAAGATGGTCAGTTAGGTAGTAACGATGTTCGTCGAGTTCGAGAAGCCCCAGGTGGAGCCGGCCTAAGAGAAGTAGGGTTCCTGTCGCCTTGCAGTAAAGGCTGTAAAGCCGCAGGTTAATGGTTTCAAATTGATCTGGCTTTGCAATCGTTCCATTTAAGGTATGAAGACATTCGATCAAGTAAAGTTAGTATACGCGAACCTTCTGTGGTACAGAAGAAATCTTCTGTACCACAGAATATGTTCAAATTGTGCTAGCGACGTAACTGAAGATGACGATGGAGAGCGCAGACGTGGCAGATACGAACCATCGGCTGACGCATGCGCAGCAACGAGGAATGTGGTGCGACTCATTGGTTGGTGGTTGGTGGTCTACAAAGCTTGATAGGGAGAGTCGTGTGAGCAGACATGTAAAGGATAATTTTATTTCATACTTTTCTCACATGAATGTAGAAAAATAAAATATCATTGTTCTAAGATAGGAATCGATCGCAGGTAAATATCCCGTCACCTTTCTATTATAGGTTATTGAAGGTTTGAGACATCTTAGAATAGAATAGAAGTGTCGGCACTTAAAAAATAGGCCCATGGCCTATTGCCGATTCTTGTACTTTTCGCGACTTGATTCACAAGGGATCCGGCCTTTAAACTCGATCTTTCCATAACTGACGATTGATTGAGATAGTTGCTGAACTTATTGCCTGGTCCGTAAGGTGCTAGGCATTTCAAGACTGAACATACGCTCCTGCATAGCTTCGTCTAGTCTGTTCTTGAAGATGTTCATACTCGGAGCGTCAACGATGCTATCAGGGAGACTGTTCCACATATCGGTGACTCGAAGCGAGAAGAAATGTTGTCGCATGGATGTGTTACAACGCAGTCTTTTTAGTTTATAACCGTGGCCCCTGGTGTTAGTTCTTGTTTCAAATTCTAGTAATCCTTCTGGGACCTCGTATAAACCGTGGGTATACTTGTATACTTCAATGAGGTCTCCACGCAGACGCCGATAACGGAAGCATGGAAGCTTCATAATTTTTAATCTTTTTTCATAAGGCTTGCCTTCTAATTCCGGAATTATCCTTAATGAACACTATCGACTAAATTTTTGTCCTTTTCTAGTTTTGGTGACCACATTGCGTTTCCAAACTCTAGGTTCGGACGCACAACAACGACAAACAACAGGTTCATCGCTTCAGCATCTATGTACTCGTAAGAGCGTCTGATCAGTCCAAATCGTTGATTGGCTTTATTAACTTGAGCTTCAATATGCTTAGAAAATTTCAGCTCATTGTCGACATTAACTCCTAAATCCTTTTCCATTGTCGACTTCGACATCATCACTCTGTCGTTGCAACCATGTGCTCTCATACTGTAATCTTGCTGTTCATTATTCTTCCCAAGGTTGATTACTTTACATTTGTCAGCATTAAAACGCAGCTGCCACTATCAGCCCAGTCAACCAGCCTGTCAAGATAACCTTGCAACTGTACTCTTTGCAACGTATTCTTCACTGTGTTATAAATTTTTGTGTCGTCAGCATACATCGAGCACACACTAGACACAGCTTCTGGCAGATCGTTTATAAACGCAACGAATAAAACACGCCTGAGAACGCTTCCTTGTGGCACGCCGCTGCGCACTGAAGCCCAGTCTGATACGGACCCATTAATACTGACACGTTGTCGTCTCCCTACTAGAAAATCTCTGATCCATTTGAGAACATTACTCTCAATTCCCAAAGACCTAAATTTACGCAACAATCGTTCGGGTGGTACACTGTCAAATGCCTGGGAGAAATCGTGGTACACTGCATCTACTGGCTCCCTTTCGTCCAGCAGTCGGGTCCATTCATTCAGAGGAGACAAGAGGTTAGTGGTGCAGGATTAGTCTTACCCGAGACGATTTAGGATTTTAGGTTTACGGTCACCGAAATGATTGAAAATCAATAGAAGCTCTTGCTATTCCGCAAGTATCGAGTACGGGAGGCGCATCCAAAGAAATAATTTTCCTGGTCCAGGTTGTTTGAGTCGTACGACACGCTGAGCAGGTCCCGTGTATCTGCTTCTAACAAGGAGATCCCTGGTGTAATAATAGCGGGTTCAGCGTTCATTAGGCCGTAGGCCCGACGACGATTCTCAACATCGCAGATTATTCACAGCTTCTTGCGGTCTCGAACTAGCAACTCACTGCTCCAATTCTACTGTGCTTAACCGCCCAGCCTCTTTGTCGATTCTGAAACCCGCGCCTCTCTGCTCCAATCCTGGTACTCTGAACTTTAACCACTGGGCCATGCGCACGTAGACTTGACGGGAACACTTGTACGCTCAGATGTAGCTTCATAGTCTGCGCGACGTTTAAAGCAGCCCAGACTTGAAGCTGGCGGGTCGGTTCTAGTTCCCGCTAGAGCTCGTCACTACATGGAAAGGTCATTGAGTGTCCCTAAGAGAGCCAGGCCGTAACGACACGGAATCACGGCAAGAAAGAGTTAACAAGGAGCACAACTGCACAAAAAAGTATCAGCCGACCGAGAGACTCAGGCATGGAACAGGAATATTAGAGGATAATAAAACGATATGTGATGAATAGATTTATACGTTCGCATTAAAATGCCTTCACAAGTTACGATGAATCAATTAGCAATGTAAATGAAAGCTAGCAGGACAGATCAACCAGGCCGCAGCTTATCTCATTTAACAGACGTTCAAGAAATACAATAATTACTACGCTTGACGGCCTTGCATTTACACTGTTAAAGTCAATCGCTGAAACTGCAATGAAAATCGGCTTAATTAGTAACATAAACAAGACTTCTGTTAATGGAAACAATGAGAAAACACTGACATTTCGATCGTAAGTATTATTATTAAAAACATCTTAATGAGCTAACCGCCTAAGTTCTACTATACACAACGAAGCAGCAGAAGGAAGACAAGAAATCGCAGTCTACTGAACAACCAAGGGCAGGTAAACTTAAGAAGTGCCTACACTGCAAGTAACGACGCACATTTAAAAGCTGACTATAAGACGCATAAATCCTCTAACTGTAAAGCTCGTGAGCTGCTCAAGTTTGAACACAAGAATCGGGAGAATGAAAATTTCTATAAAGAACGCGCCGCTTACTACCAGCTACACAACAATACGCAGGCCGACCAAAGTCTTTCAGCTGAGCTTCTGTAAAATTTAAAGTGATAGATAATTGATGATGAATAAATCTTCTTCCATGTCATAGTAATTGTAATGTTCTTAAATTAAATCTTCCAACAATTTTTAAAAAATGTGGCTCGGAAAAAATCTTTGGTTTGCTGCGAGGACTACAGCCTAACTAACATTCACGAGTTTACGAAGAAAGGCACTTGCACTAGGCGGGGATGACTTTTTTTCTCATTTACGTGCGAATAAGTTATGTTTCTCTTTTACGTGCGAACAAGTTTTCACAATTTTAGCAATTTTGATAGGTAAATAATAAGTATTTATAGATAAGAAGATTGACCTTGTTTGGTGGAGCTGTGATGTTCTGAGAGACATGCTAACAACCAATCCACATCTGCAAGAACCGCAGACAGCGGCACACATACTTTTCAACACATGCGCAATATCTATTTGAAAAACTAACAAAATTCAACTAGATCATTTGACGAGAATCTTGCAGAAAAACGAGAATTTGAGAAGCAGAGAAGCATCTACTGATAGGCAGCGTTGAATCATATAAGGAAAGATTCAGGCACGACAACCTAGTCAACACAGAAACGAGTTGCAAAAACAATCAGAAAATATTTCATTGAAATGTGCAGCTTTCTTAATACGGAGGAGAAACTGCTTCCGTGTATGTAATAAAACAGTGAAGAAACATCGCTAGTCGGATTAAGTTGATCTCAAGGCACATGAAACAATGGATGGCATCGATTTGTTCTTAGGAGATCGCGAACACACCAAACGCAGTCCAACTCTAAACATTCACAAGCAGGACTTACAATACTTATGTAAAATACAATACAGGCGAAGTGGTATAAGTAAATGGCATTAGTGTCATAGAGCTAAGTTAGACTTTGGTTAAGTTAAGAAGGCATGTCAAGCGGAACTACGATGCACGAGGCAATGCTGTAATACACAAGAGAAAAGGGCACTCAGAAGAAATAGACGAATTTCCACAAGCTGCATAAAATATTTGTGTGTCCCACAACACCGACTGCAGCAAAAAAGTGTTGCTTTATAACAACGAGGATATACCATCCCATAAAATTTACTCAAGATCAGGGGTCAAAATACAATACATCATTCGAGTGGCAGATTGAGAGCTCAGGCACATGTTTTACACATGTATTAATTTTAGCAAAAGATCGTCATAAAGAGGGACCGAGTATAGGGAACAAGTGCTTTCAACAATATCGAGCTTCATAAATTCTCAGCTCCTTCCTTCAGTCGTCTGTCGAGGAATTACATAAATTTTTCTTTGGAGAAACCCTAAAATTGATTGGTACGCCATTGCGATTCCAATTGTTTGATGTACTAGTATGTGCACGATTGAAAAATGTTTAAGATCGCTCAATACAACTAGCAAGAAAAGAATTGGAAGGAGGCAGGCACTTGATGGAGCTCTCAGGGAACTGGAAGCGTTGGCACGTTGAGACGGAAGATCTGAGTGTGGAGCGAAGTGTAAAAAGTTTGAATCCTTACATTACTTCTAAAAATACCAGGCCTCAGATTGCACTACACGCAACAAAACCTGTTCAGCAAATCTTCGATAGTCATAAAAATCCTCCGGGAGATGAAATAGTTTGGACGGCGCCTGATCTACAAGCAAGATGCAAGTGATAGCTATCAGATATTACCATCTTGAACTAAGTTCGTAAGTACTAAATACTATAAACCTACCAGAAGGCAGAGAGCCAGGAGGATCTTTAGGCTGAGGCGTTTTGGGGGTCGGTGCTCGGATGAAGTTTGAGCTAAAATATTTGAGCTTATTTAAATAACAGGCAACTTGGCACTAGCCTCAGTCAGCTCACCCACTTAACGACTAACAATCTATTGCAAAGAAGTTAAAACAAAATGGTACATTTATAAGCTTGCATATAAGATAAAAAATTAATGTTCAATGAAATGGAGTTTAAAGAGATGAAGTCCAATCATTGTAACCACATATTCGTATTGAGTTAAAAAACAGCACCAGGTTCATAATTAAGAAATGTGACAAATATTTGAGACATTCGAAATTAGAGAAGTAAAGATTGACAAATCATTACTCTGGAGGACAACCAAACTGAGATGAAGGGAGTCTCAAACTTTCAAATGAAGGGAGTTTCACAAGACTTTCAAATAAATCCTGATAATCGGCGTTTAGAAACCGGAATTTCAGATGGCCATTATTGTTGAAGAAAATCTGGCCCCGTCGGAATCCATACATGGATGCGGCAGTCAACTGTGCAGCGAGCATGTCTTCGTACACAGGCATAACGATTGCGCGCCACGCACGAAAAGTGAACAAAAAAATTCGTGTGCGCAGTCAATAAACTCAGTAATTCACATTAGAAATAATACAAGTGAATTAGAATGCAGTACGATGCTACTCAGTCATCTCGACCATGGGCAATGATCGATAAAGTTGGAAATTCGAATGATTACGCCGTATGGAGTCGTCTCTGGAGTATGTAAAAATGAGAATTTTTGAGTGGGGAAAAAATTTTTGACCCCAGCACTGTAGGAGATGATGTCTGACCAGCGTAGCATGCCTGGGATGGCCGCTTCAGATCTATTTGCCGCCGTACATGGGGTTCTTGAAGGTGGAGGTGGCCTGCTTGTAGATCGGGTTCTCTCCCTGCACACAAAAAAACGTCGCTAATACTGTATATTGCACTTTAGCTCTATGGCTGCAATATAAACATGACAATCAAGATTATCCTTTAGCAGATCCACACAGATACACGAGGATGATTAAAGGAGGTACGTAAATGGATAGCAAATCACACGCTTTTGCCGATGTCTAAATGAAGTCTTACGTACGAATATAACAACAATAGCTTCATGGCTCATACTTTACATCTCGAACAGATTATAACCTACCGTCAAACAATACATGTTTGGTATGTAATAGAAACTATTTGCCATTTAAATTTCAAGGAATCTGATGATAAGTGAAAATCTTATCTTCTCATCCATCGACACGGCAAGAAAGCCAACAGACATATAAAATACAAACCGTTTATGAAAACAAAGTGTGGATGACTGTCCATCAATCGCGGACAGCCAAGACATAACCATGACACGGTAACTCACCATATCCCACTTGGCCATCATAACCATGACACGGTAACTCACCGTATCCCACTTGGCCATCATAACCATGACACGGTAACTCACCGTATCCCACTTGGCCATCATCCTCTCCTTCTCGAACTGCGCGTACTCGCGACGGTCGTGTATCGTGGTGAGCACCTTCCACATCAGCAGCAGCGCCAGCCCCACCGCCACGATCGCGCCGATCACCCCCAGCACGATGCCTGCCACGGTACACAAGGGTGATTACACTCATATACGAGTCATTACGATCATGGGTCACCACTTACATGGGTCATTATGCTCATATGGGTGACAAGAGGAGGAATAATGAGAACAACAATATGAATTAGAGAAATAAAACTCTGCAGCGTGAGTGGTAGAAACAAAAGACTGCAATATGAATTCTGGAAAGAAACCTCATAGATAATCAAACGAATTTTGATAATGATGATATGATATAAAACATCACAAACAAAACGGAGATAAGATAGAGGGACAAAATGCTCGAACAACCAGAGAATTGCCGGAACATACAAGTCGAGAATAACTCGTCAACAATTGCAATCGTCAATAAAAAAAAGGCATCTGACGCTGAAATAACATTGATTAACCCTTTACTGCCAAACTGGACTTTCAAGTCGCCTTTAAAAAAACGCCTGTATAGGAAATATGTCATTTTTTGAAAAATTGACATGAATAAAGCCGTCTATTTCTCTGTTTTACATATGTGTACCAAGTTTCAAAGTGACCCGTCTGTAAATAACCAAGTAAAATTTGACCCAGACGCTCCCCGTAAGAGGAGCTCCCCTGAAGTCGGGCGGTCAAGAGTTAAACGTTGTTTCGACGTCCTTTGCTTGGACGTAAAGCGCAAGAAGAGACCCACCGAGGATATCGAAGATGGGAGGGCACTCGAGTGTCTGCTGGACGCGCACGATAGGCTCCTTATTCTCGCCGTAGCCGTAGACGAATGTGTAGCGGCAGTCGTTCTCGTCGAAGAACCGGCACAGCTTCTCGCCTTCTTGTTCTGTTCCAACACATTCGAGAATTAACGTGCATATTATCATCTGCAAGACTCGTGGCATGTAACTGCTTCAATGCTACTACTTTGTTCATCTCATTAATCCCCTCATTCATACGAAGCTGAATAAACTAGTAAACCTAAGTGACAACTTACACGAAATGTTTAAACAAACACAAACACTGAAATTGAAAATTTATTGAATTAATGGAGTTAATAAACGAAATAACTTTACAGTACACACCTGAGTTGAGCAATCTCCTTGCCTCTATTTCCGTCTTGAATTTATTTGAACCAATATAACCGAGGAACGTCTATACCAACAATACCTGAGAGCCGAGCAAGGTAGTAGCATGACCTCGTCCAAGTGCGTAACTTTGCTATACGATGGCTTCAACATCCAATTTCTATTTGCTTATTATATTAACTTACTTATTTTTGAGAGGCAATAATTATTTCTGAGGGTGAAATTACTTTTTCTCAAATGGAGAACAAGAGGCACCTTCATTGCAGTGACGTTGCAGTGAACAGGCAAGTCTACTGCAGGTCAAAGTGTGCCGAAATTGAACTAAATTAAACGAATAGTAAAATGTCAGCAACATCAAAATAACGATGACATGCCGCCAACCAAATAAGTTAGAACAGAAATTTTAGAACAGATAGAAATATAAATAGGTACTTTAAAAGATTAACTAGCGCGTATTTTCTTTCTAAAAGTGACACCGAAATTCCATAAACAGAGTTCGTACCGGTATTTAAAAAAAAAATCCATGACTTTTCCATGACTCCATGATCATCAATATAATTTCTGAGACTCGTATACGACAGGTTTACCATGACTGAAAGACTAACCGTGCATATTCTATCATCTCCTACAGTTGATAAATAGCAAACGTGTAAATTCATAGCTCTTCATGACTCTTCAAAGGTGGCATGGCTCTTCAAAGCTGCTTCCCCCATATTTGACACATCAAAGTCTTTCGAGCACAATGTACATGATATCATTATACATTCATGCTTTGGATGGCGAGCAAGCCAGTTACGTTAAGCTTCTATTCTTAGCCACAAGTCATGAAATTTACACTTTCCAGGCATGGTGATGTAGAAATTGCACGCTGAAGATGGAACGCCGCCACTAAAAAAAGTTGTCGAATGCAACTGAGCTCGGTCACGTGATTGTATAACCAATCAGAACGCAGGAAACAAGAGACTGCACAAACATTAAACACAAGCAGCACAGAAAAATCAAATTTCATGGCTTTCCAGGTTTTCCGTGACCGGTACGAACCCTGATAATAGAAAAGTTAGAGATAGAAAAAGGCAGAGAACGGAAGCCCGTTTCTAGACTAAATGCATCAGAACATTTCAGAGATGAGAATATCGAGTGTAGGTTAGAGGAGTAAACTTGACAAAAGCTTTCACTCAGATAAATGAGCGAGTCTCGTCCAAATAACGATGCAGTTGTTGCCCATCAATAGGTGGGGTATCCCGACCTAGTTTGACCAGGCGAAGGGCGTAACAGCGCAACGTCCGCTCTCTGCTCGGACTGCGGGAAGATTGTGGGTCACAAGTGGCACAAATGATTCCATTATTTCCGTCTGTGCTGTCTACCACCTCAGGTAGACTCGGTTCATTTCTCGGTGTCGCAGGTATGCAGCTCGGTAGCCGTTAATGCGTGGTGCTTCCAGCATGCCTCAGGTTGGCGTCCCTAAATGAACTCTGGGTACTAGTTACCTTGGGGATCTTAAGGTCTTAAGGCACACAAGTCTACCTTCAACCCAGTCAGTGACGTTGATGGTGTAGTTGGCAACGAGCCTGCTGGTGTACTCGCTGTACAGCAGAGAACATCGGTCGCAGGCCCCGGGCTCCTCCATGAGAGGGCCGAACTCGAACACTCGGCACTCGACGCACTCTTTGAAGTCCGAGCATTGGAACTCGAGACCGCACAGCTGCCGCGACCAGGACCGGTGATGGGGAGGTCGTCAGTGGTGTTAAGAAAGCCGAGGCTCAGTGAATGAAGCTCTCCACTAGAAGCCATTAATGAGGAGTGTCGGAGTGTGCTGTTTTGCGTGTATGACTGTAGGTTAATGCATCTGTATGCGTTGAACGGTTGAAAGGACCTCGAATTCGAGCGTGTGTGCGAGAGTGTAAGATAAAAATTTTTGTGTATCGAGTGACATGCAAGTAAATGAGATTTTCTCCTCTCGGTGGACGCTTTTTCTATAGCAGTTGTTGAAATTGGAGTCATATTTAATACCCAAGAACAGCAAATAATGTATAAATTGGATCAAAGTCAGAAGAGTAATAAGAGAATCTTAACAAAAAGTGTTTTCTAGAGAAGAATGTTGACATCAAATTACGTCACTAATTACAGGAGAACATCAACGCAGTGGAGTTAAAATACCGACGCAGAACGACAACAGTAACGCTAATTGTAAGAAATACTAAGCCTGCCAACGTTACCAAAATGTCAGCAAGAAAATTGAAATAAAACAGCCGTATAGGAGCACTATCGAATTGATTACCGTATAGTAAATTTACGGCGGCAATGAGTGATACTTAATCCTTGTTGGAATGCAGGTACTAAAATACGTATGGCTATAACGTTGCAAATTTGGCAGTCTGGTAAGGTTTTAATTAATTGACCAAAGGCTGGTAACTAGGCATGAAGTTCATTAAGGACATTAGGTAGGCTGCCAGGCTGTCGGTAAGACGGAACACGGCAAGATGTCAACTTCTATTCCCTACCCAGAACTACAGGAAGCATGAGAGTCATACCTCTGACCTTAAATTAAAAGTCTGATTCGTGCTGTGCATCAAGGAATTGAAGGTGCGGAAGGAAAGAAGGATACGAAGAAAGAAATGGAAAACTCAAACGCAGCATCAAACTGAACACCATGCAAAACGTGAACATGTAAGGCAAACATTAGTGCAGCAATTAAGCAGTTTGGACAGTTCATGTAGAAGTCAAGCGTATCAGAAAACAAGCATGTAGCAAAGTCAAAAAGCATGCAGCAAAAATAACACGCAAGCTTGACAGTGGGTACCTCTATGCCCACCGTTACAGCCCACAAGAGATCCAGCCTCACTTGTAACAAGAATCTATCGGTGGGGAGTAATTCATGCGGAGTCAGAAAAGCCATCGCTGAACTGCACATCTCAGTTATTTTGATTAGGTATTTCTCCACAATCTCTGGAGTTGATAAGGAAAATAATGGACAAATGATGTGGATGCCTTACAAGTTAGGCTTTCCTGCTCTATAGAAGCCAGGACGGAGTTCCACACGTACCGTGGGTTTTGGTAAAGGCAATCTAGCGGGTCCGTTTCAATGAAAAACCGATGCCTCTTCTGTTGCCAAGGATTTACTTACGCAAAAGCTTATGATAACGAAAGATAATAGAGCCCACTTGTACAGTGGATACATTTTCCTCGTCGTTATAGTCTATAGTCAATTACTTGTTGGTATATGAGATACGTGTAGATAATTTTGATGAGAGTATCTCATCAAGTTCTCACCAACTGCAACATCGACTTTGGTGGCATTGAAGAGCGTGCAGTTGGCAGCGCATTCCTCCTCGTTGTACTCGCCGGTGCCGAAGACCTGGCACTGAGCGCACGCTCTGTAGGCCTTGCACTTGCCAGGGCACGCCTACGCAAGGGGCGGGCGGGGGTTAAGAGACCTCATCTCTGTTATATTATTTCCTCACAGGAGCATTCAACACACACAAAATTAGGTGAGAAACACACAAGGGATAGGATTTCATCCAGAGTGATATATCGTTACAAGATATTTGATTCTCTCGAAACAAATGCAACCGTTTCATTTCGATGTAAATCTAAAATTTTTTATAAAAAAGAATATGCGGATAGGATCTCACACGTAGCAGCATAACGGGATGACTGAAGAAACACAATACATTATGATGATCATTTAAACTAATAGAAGTTTGTATAATTAACGCTAGACTGATAATAGTACAGCTTGGTTAGGAATCCAATGTCTGAAAAAATTAACATAAAATCGGAATTAAAGAGCCAGTGGGACGTGAACATGCTTACGCCAAAGCATCTCCTGCACCGTCATGTCCGTCGTCAGGCTGAGGTTACACACGCTTCAATATTTCCAAGCCATATGACAGTCCATTATGGTTCACTCCTCAAACCATTCGCCGTGAGCACCGTTTAGACAAATTCAATCAACCACACTCACACGGGACAAAACATGTGCTTTGCAAGGTAAATATTATGAGGATGACACAAATTGAGTTGGACAATCGCAACAAAAGTGACAAGGATCACATGAACTCGCGAGGACCGGGGAGACTATAGGACATGGGGAAGGGCGGTCGGGGATGTGGAAAAAATGTAAAGCCTACAGTTTGGTCAGAAGGGAAGTCCCTGTGTCTGCTAAGGTTCTTACTGATGCACAAGCCCGTGATTGTTTGCCGCAAGCGTTGTGCGTGCATCAGGTATCACGGTCTAGTTAAAGTTTCGTTGACACTCCATAATCCAATTACTGGATAAACAAATATCTGGATAATTTCAAACAGCGCCCACGAAGGTTTTTTCCAGCAATCCCTACTATAATTTATTCAGTATTGTTTGTGCAGGAGAGTTCACGCATTAATACCATTGAATAGTCTTGGTTAGAGTTGCAGGACTCACCGGGCAGTCTTCACACCACTTGCCGGAATAGCGGCCGCCCTCCGCCTCAAAACACTTGCACTGATTGCACTCACACTTGCCGTTGCCAGAGCACTCCACGCCCGTGTCTGCTCAAACAAAACAAAGACATTACACTTGTAGTAGCAAGTTAATCAAAATATTGTTATGGATGCAACAACATTGTGTCTATTCAAACGATCTTTGTTGCTTTGAGGCCAAAGGTTTATAAACACCCCGCGTTCGGTGGGATTATGAGGAACAATAAACGCCCCCCGGGTCGGTGGGATTATGAGGAACAACTTTCTTTCACAAAGCAACATTAGAGGATATAATCACTTCAGGACTCAGTGTGCCACAGCGCTCGCAGCCAGGGTGCAGGATATCTCACCAGGGTTGATGCAGTCCTGGGTGCAGGATATCTCACCAGGGTTGATGCAGTCCTGGGTGCAGGATATCTCACCAGGGTTGATGCAGTCCTGGGTGCTGTCACAGCACCAGGGTGCAGGATATCTCACCAGGGTTGATGCAGTCCTGGGTGCTGTTCATGCACTGGCAGGCGTCGCCAGTCCAGCCTGGCCTGCAGATGCACTTGTCGCACACACACGTGCCGTGCGCCGGGCCGCTGCACAGCTCGCCGTCGTGGCGGTCGCACAGGAAGTTCGTGCAGTCACAATATTTGCCGCTGATCACCTGAAAAATTAACACAATCTTAACTACAATGACACAAGAGAATGTTCAAATGACACAATGTTCCCTTGCAAAATCTATCTGGAATACTCACTATGCTCTCGAAAACCTATACAAAATAATGAATAGTTTCATAAATAATTTTTAGATGGAAATTAAACGAAAGGTAAAAGGTGCTGACCTCATCAAGATTGTCTCGCTCATTGCAGACGCATTCGCCGCAGTTGCAGGATCCCTGGCCACTGCAGATCTTGGATGTGTTGGTAGCCCTGCATGATAAATAATTTTTATAACATATAACATAATATAAAGAAATAATAATTAAAATAATAATTGCCTTATTAGTCATGAAATCTCAGTGGAAGCTTATAAAGAAATAATAATTAAAATTATAATTGCCTTATTAGTCATGATATCTCAGTGGAAGCTTGCATTAAAGTTAAGCCAACAAGAAATCCTGTTTCAGAAGAGGATGAAATCCTATAAGATGAGATCAAGCAGCAAGGCTCGGTGCCTTCACTGTGTCTACTTCAGATCTCGTTACAATGGGAAATGCTTGGAATAACACAAATGAAATAAGTTACGTCTTTGCAATGGTCTTGGCAAATGCATTTAGCTATCAGCCATTTAGTTGTTATAACAACAAACTGATGTTAAACCAAATAGTTTTGTTATGGAGCAAAAACGAGGATTTCTCCAAGGGGAAAAAAAGACGACTTCTTTTTAGGAAAATTAACTTTTATTTTAGGGAAGCAAGGATTTTTCGAGGGGAAATATGGATTTATTTTTTGGAAACAAGGATTTATCTATTAGAAACGAGGTTCATTTCTCAAAAACAAGGATTTACTTCTTGGAAACAAGGATTTATCTCTTAGAAACGAGGTTCATTTCTCAAAAACAAGGATTTATTTCTTGGAAACAAGGATTCATTCAAAGAAACCAGCATTAGTTTCAGCACTGAATCACGACTCACTTGCAGGAGGAGTCGTCAACCTCGCCAGATCCGAGGGGCGTGTCGAAGCCGCACTCGCAGTGGCGGCCCAGGTAGTTGGGGTCACAAGCGCACACCCCGCACTGGTAGGTGCCGTGTCCTCCGCACACATCAGACGACGGCACGTATCCCTGCAACCGCGGGACATGTGTGAGGCGTGGTAGGGGTGAGTGAGGAGGGGCAGGGTAAGTGAGGAGGGGCAGGGTGAGTGAGGTGGGAGTAGGGGTGAGTGAGGCGGGGTAGGCGTGAGTGAGGTGGGAGTAGGGGNACTGGCAAGTGTACAATTAGTACTGGCAAGTGTACAATTAGTACTGGCAAGTGTACAATTAGTACTGGCAAGTGTACAAAGTATTGTCTAGCATACCAGCATTACCGCACAAGTGTTATCTGACGAGATATCTTGCCGATGTTGCAGCACAAGAAACACTCAAGACACAATTAGCATATGTAACATGAGGGCAACAGCGGGGCAGGACCTGGTCGCCGACATGGAGGTTATCACACACGGACGTCTCCACTTCGGGGCCGCCCTTGCAGCGCGAGAAGTAGCGGATGTGCACAGGTGCTGTTGCGTTGTCCTTCAGCTCCACTTTACTCGTGATTTTCTGCGCAGTAATCATCAACCATTAGAATAATGTAACTTTCACTCGTCAGGTCGCAATCATGGCGTGCTACTGAGATATCATGTGCACAATACTCACACTGTACACAGTCACAATACTCACACTGTACACAGTCACAATACTCACACTGTACACAGTCACAATACTCACACTGTACACAGTCACAATACTCACACTGTACTCAGTCACAATACTCACACTGTACTCAGTCACAATATTCACACTGTACTCAGNCCTACCTGCGCCACGGAGAGGTAGTCCAGCAGGGTGGAGTGCGTGTACATGCAGCCTACCTGCGCCACGGAGGGGTAGTCCAGCAGGGTGGAGTGTGTGTACATGCAGCCTACCTGCGCCACGGAGGGGTAGTCCAGCAGGGTGGAGTGCGTGTACATGATGCCCTCCTGGTCCAGGTGGCACTCCCCGTCATTGGGTTTCACAATACCGCCCAGCTGTGAGTGCAGAAAACCATTTAAATAGATATATGATTATATAACAGTAATGGTGAGGCCACAGTAATTTATTGAGAAATTGTGTAGTAGTTTTCAAACTAATTAAGATTCTCAGATTATTAATAGGATTCACATTCATTGATGCCAGTTCGCAGTTCAATGACGAAGTTGAACAAAATGCCAACGGACAAATTGTTGACATGGACAAATTACGTCCTAAAATTAAAACTGAAAAAATGAGGTGAACAACGTGGGCCTTCATCTTCCCCTATTATTTTTGAGCGCTTTGAGGGGGCTCATGAAGAAAATAAAGATAAAGCAGGACACTTTTATCTTGCTATTAGTTTCACAAATGGCTGATAATTAAATTTTATTTAGTTAAAAGAGAAATTGTACACAATGCATTTGAGAAAAATATGCATGTAGGAACCAATTCCCTTTTAAAATATCAATAAGCCAAGCAAAAGAGAACCTGGATTTTCACTATGGCAAGGATAGAAAACAGGAAACAAATTTTCCCATCAGTCTAATGAGCGTGTAGTACCTTGCCGTCGCCAGCGTAGTGGAAGCCTGCATCAGTGGAGAAGAGGAGGAGGTGGCGGGCGTTGTCGCGCCATCCGATCTGAGACTTGCACTTGATGGCCTGCATGATGGCGTCGAAGCCTCCCTCGGGGGCGTCCAAGTTACCAGACACAGGAGCGTTGCGTACTTGGTCCTGATATGAAGGGGAGCAGCACATAAATACGAGTGAGAGCAGCTTATAAATATGAGTGAGATAAGCACACGAATATGAGTGAGATAAGCACATGAATATGAGTGAGATAAGCACATGAATATGAGTGAGATAAGCACATGAATATGAGTGAGATAAGCACATGNAAAAGAGCGACACAGTAATCGGTAATAGGATTCACATTCGTGGATGCCAGTTTGCAGATCAATGACACTACAGAATTACTTCAGAATTTCTCATAATTTTTATCTAGAATAGGGAGTTCCATGAACAAAATGCATGTTAAAATGCCAACAGGCATATTATATCCAAAGACAAATTACGTCATAAATAAAAACTGAAAAAATTATGAGGTGAACAACGGGGGCCTTTATCTTCCCCAATTATTTTTGAGTGTTTTGAGAAGAAAATAAAAACAGGCGCAAGCTGGACACTTTTCATCAGGCTATTTGTTTCACAAATGGCTGATAAATAAATTTTATTTAGTCAAAAGAGAAATTGTACGTAATTCAGTTGAGAAAAATGTGTATGTAGGAACCAATTCCCTTTTAAAATATCAATAAGACAAGCAAAAGAGAACCTGGATTTTCACTATGGCAAGGATAGAAAATAGGAAACGAATTTTCCCACCAGTCTAATGCGCGTGTAGTACCTTGCCGTCACCGGCGTAGTGGAAGCCTGCATCGGTGGAGAAGAGGAGGAGGTGGCGGGCGTTGTCGCGCCACCCGATCTGAGACTTGCACTTGATGGCCTGCATGATGGCGTCAAAGCCTCCCTCGGGGGCGTCCAAGTTACCAGACACAGGAGCGTTGCGTACTTGGTCCTGATATGAAGGGGAGCAGCACATAAATACGAGTGAGAGCAGCTTATAAATATGAGTGAGATAAGCACACGAATATGAGTGAGATAAGCACATGAATATGAGTGAGATAAGCACAAAAATATGAGTGAGAGCAGCTCATAAATATGAGTGGGAGCAGCTCATAAATATGAGTGAGAGCAGCTTATAAATATGAGTGGGAGCAGCTCATAAATATGAGTGAGAGCAGCTCACAAATATGAGTGAGAGCAGCTCACAAATATGAGTGAGAGCAGCTCACAAATATGAGTGAGAGCAGCTCATAAATATGAGTGAGAGCAGCTCACAAATATCAAGACCAAAGCTTTGATAGCATTCAGGACAACTTGAACCTTTAAAACTAATGAGGGTATCGCTAGTGCATCAAAATTTGATTGCAATAAAAGAGTCATTACACACTAGCAAGATTTAATAATGTCGGCATCAAGTACACAAACAAATACAGCATGAAATTTACCCCAATGGTCTAACAAACATCTTGATCTATGAAACTTTTTTCAGCCGGGAAGTATGGAAGAAATAATGCCTTCATTATACATGAAATACCAAATAAGAGATGACAAAAAAATAAATTTTTTTCCTAATCAACTTACAACACAAAACATATCTAATTTAACTGTAGAAAAATAGTAAGAAATTTATTGAAATAAAGCCAACACACAAAGTCAGGCCGACTTGCCCTGTAAACAATCAAGAAATTGCAGGAGGAAGACCAACTCACCACAAATGACGAGGCGTTCTCGTTGAGTTTGAGAGCATTCCGGAAGCCATAAGGACGAGCACAGTCCTTGCACGGAGCAATCAGCCTGCACAAGACGAAGCAAATACATAACAAAACAATCAACAAATTTACTACACTTTTAAACAAGAGAAATGCAAGGCAGATGAATAAAGGCAATAGTAAATATCTTTTACCTGAACCAGTTAAGAAGGAAATGAATTGACAAGTTACACTATTTCAATCTCAAAAGGAACAAAAATTGTAATACAACTCTAAAATATAAATGAATTACAAAAACGGAAAAATATGAGTAAAAACTCAATGAAGTTAAACGACAAAGTTGAATAACTTGAACTCACTTCTCTGGGACAGTGCTGACGTAAGGCATGACAACCTTGTCTACAAAGGAGCCAAAACCAAGCCGGAAATTACGGGTAATTTTCTGCATCTCCTCAGCCAGAGTGGCGCCCAGGGCTGACAAGGAATCCTTGTCATCCTCCATGCTCTTGGAAAGGTCCATGAGATAATACAAGTCCACAGGATAGTCCTCAGCCTGGCGGAATGTCACCTGAAGGGACTGACTTTCGCCTGCAAGCAAATTAGTTGATTACAGAATGTACTTCTCAAACTGAAACAAGCAGCCGTAGACGCACAGTCAAAGAAAAAACATCTGAAAGTCGCAATTCATCTTCCTTGACTTAGCAAGACAATATTTCAACAATAATGATCATGAGTCAATGACAATTATAATGATAATACTTCCACAATTCATCTTCCTTGACGTAGCAAGACAAAATTTCAACAAAAATGATCATATGTCAATGAAAATTATAATGACAATGTTCCCATCATTTGAGCACATTTTCATCAATTCATTTTTCATTGAGCACATTTTCATCAATTCATTTTTCTATCTTTAGTTATTCAAGATGAAATTTAATGCTTGAAAGTGAAAAAAATTAAACTGGATGCTTATAGAGTGCATTTGTAAGATGGAACAATACTGACGGACTCTAAGCTGTAGGGCAATGTTTTGAGGACGCATTTGTATGAGACTCTGGTTGTGGGAGCCATGTGCACCACCAGCAGCTCCAGCACCACCGCTACCAGCAAGCACTCCAGCCATCGCAAGCTCTTTATCCAGTACAAGCTGTAAAAATGTTGGTTACTTATAACTTAACAACTTTCTCAGTTTCTTAATAACACATTCAAAAATAATGTTGGCGATTCAATGGAAAAAATTAATGTAATAAACTTACTCTTAAAACAGTGAAATATATTTAATCTCTGATAATCCTCCTCTGTAACCAATTTAAGTGTCAGGAGGCAAGCAACAGCATCACACATCAGTAAGAATTGAAAAATTCTTACTTCATTTCTAACACCTATGAGTACAACAGTGTTGTTACTGTTGTCAAAATGACAATTATTATGATTAATGACACAATTGATATGTAATGATTCATTTGAAGGAAACCTACTCTGCAATTACCTACTATCTTTGCCAATATAAGCAAGGAATAACATTGAGAAAATTAAATATTAGAGTTATTGAAAGCTAAAGTGCAAGTCAAACACATGAATTTTGGTTAAAAATAACAAGTGGAATGTGTGTATTCTATTTAGAAAGTATCAACTGACCCTGTAAAAATTCTCTGGAGCATAAATGTTATCCTTGCCACACTGAGCCGTCCACTCATCCAGAGCACTGCCAGCCCTGTCAGTGCAGCGCAGCAAGGACTGCTCTGAGCTGCTGAATTCCTGCACAAGCAAAATACATGAGCAAATGTTACATTTTCAACTATAAAGGATATTCTCAATCCGTGTTAGCAGAGAACCGATTTTTCAAACATAACTAGTCTTTAATAGCATATTTCTGTGAATTTAATTCAAATAATTGTTCCCTAAAGGATCATGTCTGCCACAATATGATGATAATCGTAACTATTTAATCTACTTATAAACCACAGCATAAAAAATATGACCAAAAAACTTACCCCAGGCTTGCCACACCAAATACAGTTGGGAGTCTGGATGCAGGCTGAGCAGGTCTGTGCATGTTTACAGTCACTGGCCACTGCCACAGCAATGAGGCTGCACAACCCCATTAATAATAGATGGATCTTCATCATCTTGCAGTCCTGGAACAAAAATACTTATTTGAATATAATTATTCTCATAAAACAAGAATTTAACAAACAACTTGCTGTCTCATCACAGCACACAATCCATTTCAACCATCACTTAAATTGATTCAATCACTGTAAGTGATTGTTAACCCTTTATATATACTGCCAGATTGAACATTCAAGTCATTTCTTTTAGTCTTGATGTAGTGATTTCAACCGAAACTATACTTATCGATATAAGGGGTTGCGTCGACAGTATTTATAGTTATTTCAAGACAACCAGTTATTTCGACACCTGTATTGATCTCGTCAATTGTATGGAACTCTCGATAGAGTTTTAAATAAACATTTTAAAATACTGTCATGTTTCTAGCACAAGGGTCGGCGTGTTGAAAAGGTTCTCACGCTGGCAGCTAGGCTACAAATTGACAAGGGAAAAGATACAAATAAGCATGTCAACACTTATATACTTAAAGACAGAAAATCCTACTCTAGTACAGGACTGGGCGTTCGAGCTAGATACTATCTCCTAACAGGCTCAGTATGATTACTCGAGGCGAACACAGCGGGAAACAACTAAAGGTAGCTACCATGAGAATACTATTTCAATTTTTCACAGTTGTACATCACCCGAGGTCTGTGGAGGCGATAGCGTCTTGGATGAAACTGGTGGCGATGCTCCGACGCGCCCTGGTCGTTCCAGTGTTCCTTGAGGCCGACCGGCAGGGTTTCTATTCCATAGTATAGATGCTGATGGCCCGATCGTGGTCGTTCTCTTCGCCGGGGGGTGCTTCTCTGTAGTTGTAGGTCGGCTTCAAGATAACTTGCTTGAAGCGGTAGTTAAGTCGTAGTTCCTTTTATTCGATGGTAAGTCGTGAGATCTCAGAGTAGTTCCACTATTTCGACAGATCGGTTGCAATATTTCGTCGTCAGTTGTCTTCTTCTTGGTGATATACAATGCGGTCGGCTGAAGTTGTCTGAAGAGACGTCATGACTCAAGAAAATAACGAACACCACAATTGTTTCTAAACATTCACTCTTCCCTGAATACGTGGTACAAACGACGTGCGGCAAGATCCTCCGCGCTCGACTGACTCCGCACTCAACTGGCTCTGTGCTCGAACTCTGGTGATCTAAATTCTGCACACAACACGATGTCTTCTCGGCATGCTGGCCGACTCGTACTGAGCTGCCTCTTCTCCTACCTCACTCCTTTTATAGCCCCGTTCACTACCCGCGTGAGGCGTCCTACACCCGCTTTGTTTTGAATTTCAAACCGTTGGCTTCAATCAATCTTCAACGGTTCTACATATATTAACAATTTTGAGATACTATGAATTTCTATACTAATCAAGGCAAATGCTTAGGTCATGGCCGAGCAATTTTTTCAACAAATGAAAATTAGATTGATTCTTTACAATTACTGCGAGATGCTCATGAAAGTGATAATGTTAGTGAACGTTCCCATGACATGGTGGTGGACCTCAACAAGTCATCGCAGAATGTTGTCTTGCCTTGGCGAGTGAAGAATTCCTATTCTCAGCACGTGACATTACAATAACACAAAAGCATCGATTGCTGCGTTTCACCGTACCTTGTTGCAATGGCTCCAATGATCATTTTTAAAGCCGCATTTTCAGAAGGCAACTAGTTAAGCTACCGAAGTGTCTCCGACAAAGCTTTGGACAGCAAACAAGCCACCGTCTCCATTGATTGTGAACTTGTCCTACAGTGGCTCACGTTAAGATTCTTTGCATTTGCCCAGCCATCAACAGATGGACCAAGAATTCTGCTGCTCGATAGTCACGCATTGCATTGCTCCTGTAGATATTGCCTATGTCAGGCAGAACAACTTGACATTTCAATAGCGTCAATGCCTATACCTATATATCCACAAAATATTGGCGATATCTATCACAGCTTGTAACTTACAAGGATATGCATGAGAACTGAAAAGGTGCGTCGTGCATGCAGTCATTGACGGACACAAAGTCTTGTTACGCATATAGTCTTATTCTTTCATCGATATTCTTTCTTCTGCCATGGCCGGTGTAAAATCAAATATGTATAATATTTGAGAAAATATAACAATATTTTACCATGATCTATTTCAGTATCAATGGCTGGAGCTATATAGGTGTCTGTGACGGTTGATATAGTAATATAT